TGTATGCTCAGTGCTGTCCGAGAGCTTGCGAAAAAACCTCACAAGCTTACTCGGTTTCGCAAGCTCTCGGACAGCACTGAGCATACAGTGCTTATTAATATACGTTGGGTAAGGGCAAAACCTGTTGTATAAAATTAACATCTCCCAACGCAAAAAATACATCTTGAAAAAAGTTCGTTATCATCATGGGCAGAAACACAACATCAGCTGTTGCTTTTCACAGATGAAACTTTTTTTCCCTTAGCATCCTAATTCATTTACACAAATACATCCTAATTTGTGCCGAACTTGAATCAGATGGCTGTTGTTTTTTTGTCTTTTTTCTTTTCTTTCTTTTTTTTTGGATTTTTTTTGTCTGGGATGTCGTTAGTTGGTGGTTGTTTGGCAAGATGGAGCGATCAACCCCTCGTCTTCAGTGGCCATCAGTTTCCTCTACCAGAGGGATTCTGGAAAGGGAATGGTATCTGTGAGACAAAGAAACAAAAAGGTTTAATCATAGCATACAGTAAAGATATATACATGATACATGTTGGAGCAGCAAATTTCAGTAATTCTTCAACAATGTTCGAGAGGTTATTACCTTGGGAAGCAGTAGCTTGTACAGAGATGCACATGACAGGCAGTGCCACCAAAGTATGTCTTAACTGGGAATCCAGATGGCATTTTCTTTTTGTCTCTGGCACACTGCTTGCAGACCTTTGTTAGAAATTTGAAATTTGCAGAAATTTGTTACCCATATTGACCAGGATATGGAGTCTGCCAAAGTTGTGGAGTGGCACTGGTGGCATCTCAGGCTGCCTTCTGCTCTGTGCGCCATGAGCTTAGCCTTGGAGCAACTGCTCTGCAATGTCCATGGTGAAATAGCAGTGATTCAGAGGTCCACATTCATCCTGGGAGGTGTCATCCTCAGACTCACTGGGCAACTCCTGCATGTGGCTCTTGTAGCAGATCCAGGCAGTTGCACTTGAAAAGAGAAAAACAGTGAAATGGACATTTCATGAAATTTACCATGAAAATCAGAATTACTGTATCCAAAACAGAATGTAGAATTGAATTGAAGCAAACTATAAAAGATCATTTCCAAATTAATGATTTGTTTTTGACTGGCTATCATGCATGTTAACTTGGGAAGTATGTGAATTATCCGATATTAAAGTTTCCTTACATTTTTGTCACTGTTGAATTAATTTGTTAGGTGTGTTTTCTTCCTGTGTGAGAATTAGATTCTTAGATGTACAAACGATCCTCAATGTCTACCTGCTGGAGTGATAGATCCTGTCAAACGTTTTGTTCTGGAAATCGTAATTGGTCAGTCATCCCCTGCCCTGAGAGTGTGATAAAATGTACAGTAATTAATCAGATCTCATAATATCATATTTCACATACTGTTTACAGTATAGTTTCAATGTACACTTCATTGTTTTCAACGTGCTCCTGGAGATCTGCCATTGGTACTATCCATGGAAAGTGAGACATTTTTCCATGATGGCTTTGAATGGTGACCACTGAATGAATGTCCTGTTGAGAGAATTCAATGCCCCAAAATTGGGACAGTTCTCCCTGTGGTAATGACTGATGTATGCAACAGTTTGGATAATGAGAGGAACTTAAACAATTTTCTTCTCTCCTGGACCACCTGATTTTGCGGTGCTTCCAATACCAAATCCACCCAAAATTTGGTTGTAATAGTGCGCAGTGGGAACATGTCAAATTTTTAATATTTAATATAAATATGAACATGATTTTGTCAACGCCTTCAAATACCGGCCACCAAATCCACCGAAAACATTGTTATTTCATAATTCT